ATGTTATACAACAGGATAAGAGTGTGCTTTTTAAGGATAAAAATAGATTTATGAGCAAGAGGAGATGCTCATACGATGATGACAATTTCTATTAATTTGAAAATGTTGAAGAACAGTTAATCCTCTTTTTGGAAGGAAAAGCATAGTTGGTAGTGAAATCTGGTTCAAATGATGGGGAGTTGTTTTGCAGGTTTTGAGGGAAAGAGGATCCCAATCTCTCTCAAATAGGTGTCTCAACAGGCAAAGATCTGTGAGGGAATGCTCTTTGTACGCGAAAAACAGCATTAGCAAGCAGAACTTTCCCCATCGCAGTTTGTTGACGTCACACTCTTTCTATTTCACAATCCTATGCAATTTTCCCTCTCGTTCACCCAACACAACTGCAGCATTAAATCTTCTATTCTTCTAATGCACATTCTCAGATCACTCTCAATTTCAACTAGAACAAATGCTCTACTGTCTCTTTCTTCGGTCCTTCTCACTCAGAGGAGAGCATAAGGATTATCTACCTCCTGTTTCTTCCCTCAAACTCATTGCTTATTTCCAATTTAATACTACGATATTTGTAACTGCTAAAAAGTCCACTCGAGGCTCTTTAAATTGGCAGCTATTGCTCCTACTCTTTCTCAATAAATGCTACTATTTTTGGTTATTAATCCACTGGTATAAGAATAGAAAAAAGACCAATCCAACAAAGAGAAGCACTCACCACAAAAACTTGAATTCTATGAATCAATATTGAACTTGTTAGAAGTTTTTAGTTTTTGGTTATGTCAAATCAAGTATTGAGTGACATAAAGCTGTAAATGGTTATAAAACTCTACATATTTTAAAAGATAGAACACACTGAGCTTAAATTTCAAAAACTGCTGGAATTGATTATAATGATTGGAGGGATAAAATAGTGATTACAGTGTTATGAAAGATTTAATCAGTTTATGAATTTTAGCCATCTTAGAAAGAGATCCCATGAAGCTAATAAGGGATTCAGACCAGGACTCTAAACGCAGGAATTATTTTCTCTCATATTATGGAACACACAGGCGGCCATACTTAATTAAATACTGGGCATTGGGGATTTTGATGGAATAAAAAATTCAGAGAAATTAATCGAGAATTTCTCTAGACCAACCCAGAGAAAATTCAGCCAACCAAACCAGAGAATTTCCTCTGGACCAACCAACCCAGAAGAAAATTCAGGTTCAAACCAAAAAAATTCCCAACACCAGAGAAAATTCAGACCAACCAAACCAGTTATATATATACACATCCAGAACCATGCCTCTTTCCTCTCTTTCAATTCACTAGCATAAAACCCACACAATATACATACATATATTTATGTAGACTTTTATGTACGATGGGATTATCACAGTAGGTTTGGGGAATATAACAGAGGGCATTTATGTCTACTGGTTAATGAAACTCTTTCCACTGTGGCAGAAATTGAATAATAAAAATATTTATTTTTGATGATGAAAGCATAAGAATGAAATAAATTGAGGAATTTTCTCTGGACCAATTTTATCTGGACAATATATTACACAAAGTCAGAGAAATTTCTTTGTGAATAGATGCCAGAGGAAATTTGTGAAGTTAGAGAAATTTCTTGGATCAATGTACAATAACCAAGGTTTGTTCATAAAAATACAACTCTACAAATAGAGAGAATTTCTCTAATCTGTCTAGTTTGGACCAGAGAAATTTATGGTTTTTGTTAGTAAAGATTGTATTTTTGGCTTACATAATACATAAAGTCAGAGAAATTGGCAATGTGCAAAGGATTGGGACATAAACTTAAGACAAGGGAAAAAACTGTAAGAGAGAGAGAATACTAATCAATACCAAACAAAATCATAGGCATTTTGCATGCTAAAAGTAGCAGCAGATCTGGAAATTTCTTAGTGATATAGTAAAGAGAACAAAGTACTACCTAATGTCCATAAGAGCATGTGATTGCATATGGTCAAAACAGTCAGTTCAATGCATTCAGAGAAATTAGGAAGGATTGGGCCCGAAAAATTCTGAAAGAATTGGAGCAGAGAAATTAAATTGTCTCTAGACTCAACCAATGCACTAGAGAAATACTGAGAAATTATGGGAAGAATTGGGCCAGAGAAATTCTGAGAATAATTAGACTTTCCTGAGAACTTGGTCTGAAATTTCTCTGGACCAATTTCTTCTAGACTGAAATTTTTCTGGATCAGATTTTCTCTGGATCAAGGTTGAGGGACTTAGACATATGAAAATATTGTTGAGGGACCTTAGAACATTATGAAATATTAAATGTTCTTTATGCTATACAACCTTAATATGAGAGACTTAAAAAATAAACCCCTTTTCTAAAACAGTTTTTTAAAAATTTTACTTTCTTATTTTCGCGTATTTTTTTGTTTTTACTGAATTTTTTTAAATATTTTATGCAAATTTTTTACTTTTTAGACACACCTAACATAAATACACCTAAAAAGTAAAAAAATTTAAAAAAATCTTTTAAAAATTCACTAAATACCAAAATACAAAAAAAAAAAATATAAGAATCAGTACATTTTTTGTATTTTTATGTATTTCTTAATTTTTTTAAAATATTTTTCACATTTTTTTTACTTTTTAGATACATCTAAGTAAGGTACATCTAAAAAAGTAAAAAAAATGTTTAAAATTTAAAAATATTCACTAAAAACAAAAAAATACGAAAATCAAAATACTATAGTTTTCAAAAAAATTTAATCATGAAAACTCAGCCAAAACAATTCTTTTTTCCCTGATAAAAGCAAAAGAAGCAATAAATATATGGTTGGTTTAAGGGAAACAGAAAGCAATTCAAACCCGTGATAACCAAAATGATTCCATGCAACTGACAATGGTCAATTCGGTTTTGATGGTATTATTGAACACTATTTAGGGTTGTTTGAGGATGTCTTAAAATGAGTATATTTTTTCTTTTTGACTAAAATGTTGAAGGATAAAAATGAAGTGTTGAGTTAACTTTTTTAATTTTTTACGAGAAAAAAATGTGTATTAAAAAATTGTTAAATTAGTGTGCAGAAAAAAGTTTTGACAGTGTAGTAGTATTACATGCCAACAAGGTTTTGCAGAGTGGTTGTAATAGGAAATGGTTTGCCTTCTTTTCGGCAACTATTTGGAAGGTGCTTTTTGGTCAGTGAGGGCCACCACGGGTTCTGTTTTGCTAATCAACCGTTCAATGTGTACAACTCGTCGATATTATATGTTTGTAAAAAAATCACGTGTGTGATCGGATATCGCTAACTACATGATCAAATCATTTTTGTATAAAAAATAGATGGTGTTATAGTTAACGATTGACCAAAAAATGATTAAATCAGTTTTTGTATAAAAAATGGATGGTGTTATAGTTAACGTTGACAAAAAAACTAATCCGATCAGATAGCTATAGATATTCGATCAACGTGATTTTTTACAAGCATATAGTACTGGACGAGTTCTACAACATTGAATGGTTCGGATTTCAAAAGGTACCTGTGGTGGGCCCCCACGGGCCCAATATTACTGTCCAACTTAGTGAATATATAAATAATTTTTTTTTTTTTGTTCCTTTCACAATTACTTTCCCCATCAATTAGTACCTTTCACAGTGTAAAATTGGTTGTATTAAAATATTATATATATTAATTTTTTTTATATTTTTTATATTTTTTATTTGTGAATAGTGACGATTTTTTTGCTTTTTTTTGTAACCTTTTGACTTTTTGAATTTTTTCTAATATCCCAAACCAGACCTTAGTATATGCAATCCTCAAAGGTGTGAAAAGGGATCATGCACAAACTAAAATATTAAGATCACCTTCAGAGATGCATTCTGGGCGAGAAGCTGATCATACTCAGTCCTGATGCGATTTAGTTCTGATCTAAGAGAGGCATTTTCTTCTTTCAAAGCTTCAGCACGTTGGGCCAGTTCGTCACATTCCGCCTGACTCAAGAGCATACATAGTCATAATAGAATCACGGAGTCACATGATGAAAGTCGCAAACAAAACAAACAAATTGAAAAGAATTAAGTAATTTTACCTGCTTTCGCAACCTGGATCGACGAGCAGATTCCCTGTTGGACTGCTTCCTTCTCTGTCTTTTAAGCTCTCTTTCATCCTAACTCAAGAACAAGATGTGTAAAACCAAGATGACTTTAGTAAGAATAGGTAAAAATCGCAATGAGTAATAAAAAGTTCCAGCTATTGAGATAACAATCATGTTCTTTGGAATGATGTATCAAAATCAGTAATCAAAATGAACCAAAGTGGACAGATTGAGGACAAGCAATCTTCTTGAAATGATGTTTGGGCTGTTTGACCACAAAACCTTGCTTCCATATTTTCCCCTTCCTATACCCGAGTGTGATTTAGTTTGACAATTTAAGGGCAAATTATTAAGAAAAACTTCCCTCATTACTACAAAATTTCACTTCAAAAAATGTTTCACAGATCTGAACTTGAAGTTATGATACAAACAAAATGTTCAAATATAAGGTCATTGTGTGAAGAGATTCTAGGTTATCTAATTTGAAAGAGATTCGAACCACTAGTCTCTCAAACAAGGCGAGCAACTCAAGGGAGGCTTGTAGATTGACTAGCTCATATTAGAAGCATTAATACTCACCCAAAAATATTTATATATATTGGAAGCTTTAAAACAAGATTCATCACATGACAACAATCGAAAGATGCATACTCCTGTTTTTCATGGCTTGAATTAGTAAAAGCAACTCCATCATAAAATTAAGAAATGTAAGGTATGGGAATACAGTAGTGGAGAAATAGTGATGGCCAAAAATGTTGTACGTACCAAAACCCATCTAATGGTCAACTCCTACTTACAAAACCAAAGAGCAAATTACAACAATGCCCATGAGAAAAGAAAATATATCGCATTGTGATAATTTTGCTAATTGAGACTAGTTAACATAGCTAATCTTAATTGGTGTAACACTCACATCAGCTGTGTAGTCCAAGGCTTTTATTTATGTAACTTCTCAGATGCCTTTCTACAAATTTCATAGAAGATGGCAAAGGAATATTCAGCAAAGCAAGGTACCAAACAATTTAAGGCAAAGTATCAATAGAGTTATCAGCACCCTCTTTTAACAATAACTGTACATGATCCAATGATGGATCCAGGATTCAAACTTTGAAAGGGGGGGGTTGCCGGTGTGTGATACGCATGTAACTTCTCATTTTTTGAAATTATCTTTTACTATAATATACATAGTTTTTACAACTTTTGGGGGTGCGACCCCCCATCTAGATCCATCCTTGTGTACATCCATCACAAAAACAAACACCGGCCTCCCTCCACTTTTGTGGATGAAAACAGTCGAGAGCAAACTCTGACCTCTAAGCAAGTACCTAGATCACATCTTATACTACTATGCATGCAACCATATAGTGGTTAAACGGAAAGTGGAAGATATCTTCTTCAAAAGCAAGCCATCTTGTGATCCAGAGTGGATGGGTGGAAAAGAAAGGAGATGTTGGGGGGAGACCCAAATCCCTACTCTCTTTAACCTTTCCAACAAACAATATGATTACCAAAGGTCAGGCACAAAGCAAATGTTTTAATTCTTAAGAATATTTAATTTAGATGCTAAGACATTAAGAGTAAAGCAAGTGAAATGGATTAAATAATTGAAATTATAGACAGAAAAGAAAGGAAATAAGAGAGAGAGAGAGACCTGTAACCAAAGCTGTGACTGAACACTGTCCCGTGATCCAGCAGTGACCATTCCTCCTGCAACAGGAGTAGCAGGTGCCTTCCCACGCAGTGCAGGAAGAGTGGAAGAAGTTGCAGCACCCCAGTAGTCCATACCAATATTTAAGTTTGTGGTGGGACCAGGTACACCTGGAGCACCTGTTGCTGCCATTGGCATGATGGGCATTGTTTGGTTCACCATCATTGGAGGTGTATTTGGTCCTCCGTTCTGAGAACCATGCATAGTTCCACCATTCTGAGATGCTTCAGCTGTAACAACGGCATTGCAAAAAAATTTCATTAAAATCATCGGAAAAAAACTGCAAAATTTAGTCACTGAAATTGAAAGAAACATTCTTACAGCCAAACCTTCGAAAGAATCTTGCCTGGATCCTGACTTCATTTGTGAGTCCTGCCCAAAATTAATAGAAAATACTAGATGTGAAAGTGAAATTTTTTGACATAGAAGACATGATCCTCATGCTTATATGGTACGTATGAATCACATGCCTTTAAGGAAGAATTTATGAAGGGTCAACCTCCAAAATAATAGATAACCTATTTATATGTAGTAGGATTAGCATGTCTAATCTATTTCATCCAGTGTGGTTCTCTATCTGGCACAAATACTTCTTAAAGGCAGCCTTGTCACTCTGTGAATCTTTGCAATACAAGATTCTTCCAATACTCATGGGAAAACAATCAAAGCACGCACCCCAAACATGTCTAAAATCTATTAGTAATTCTGATATCATAGCATGACAAAAATAGGTCAATTATGTAGCAGACATACACGTACTGATTCATTCCAAACAATGTAATGAGACACACACTGTTGGCACATAAATTTTAAACCAAATTTATGTTTAAATTTCAAATACAGTCAATCACACACATAGAGCCTACGATAAGATTGTTGTAGGCAATCACTTCTCAAAATGATTAACTTGCTCCGTTGAAGCGTATAAATAAAACAACGTCGTATCTTAACGACGTTATTCAAGATGCTCAAATGACACGTGGAGCCTACGAAAGATGACACCTGTAGAGCCTACAGCAAAGACACCACACAGGATGAAACCCCAAAGATCAATCCGGTTAATCAGATATATGATTAATCAGATAGCGCTATTATTCAAAATTCAAATAGGCGCTATCATTCAATTTGAAATTCAAAATGAAGATGAAGCGTTCCTATCACCTGATGGCCCTCCATAAATATGAGGACCATCACACAAGACCGGGGGATTGGAAAATCAAAAGGGAAAAGATCAGAGAGAGAGAGAAAGAAATTGAGAGCTCAACAAATCGTTACAAGAAAGAAGAAGAGAAGCCTAGAGAACTGAAGAGCCTACGCTAATGGCGATGAATAGGTAAAGGGTTCCAAACCCAAACTGTATTTTGTATTCGAGGGTTCAAAACCCATAACACAATCTTAATTAATTTTTTTTTTTTAATTTGTCATTTGTTGTTTATTTTGTTCTTCATTAATCAGAGGTTTCATTTGTATAAAATGTGTAATTAACGATCTGAAATACAGATCGGAAATAAGAACCTGCTATTCAAATAATCAACACTGTTTAGTCAAAAACTAAACAGTGGACATTTGTAACATAAAATTTTAAAATGTGTTGAAACACTTCATGTTTTAAAATTTGTGTCTACAAATTCTAGGGCCATCAGGTGATAGGAACGCTTCATCTTCATTTTGAATTTCAAATTGAATGATAGCGCCTA